GATGACACAGTCTTGTGGCTCTCTGAGACAGAGAGCTAGACGCATAGACAGGGAGCTTGACAGACAGGCAAATAGACAGACAGAAATGTTAGTATACCAGCAAAAACAAAAACATCTTTTCGCATCAGCTCTACCCTCATCAAACGTCAGCACTTATCAGATGTTATCTCCCCCTTATCTTGTTACTGTCATGGGTGAACATTTATTATTACCTATTATTATTATTATGTATTATTATTATGTATATTATTATTATTATTATTATTATTATGTATGTATTATTATTATTATGTATTATTGTTATCATTACGTATTCTTCTTCTTCCTCCTCCTCCTCCTCTTCTTCTTCTTCCTCCTCCTCCTCTTCTTCCTCCTCCTCCTCCTCCTCTTCTTCTCCTCTGCCTCCTCCTCCTCTTGCCTCCTCCTCCTCTTGCCTCCTCCTCCTCTTGCTGCCTCCTCCTCCTCTTGCCTCCTCCTCCTCTGCCTCCTCCTCCTCCTCCATTCTTGGAACAAGTTTGAAGAGCTTGTAGTTCATAATCACTATCACTATCATCACCAATGCTCACATCTGAGTCTGAGATTTTGGAAAATAGGAGTTTCCTCTTTGATTCTGGTACAACTGAACGTGAACAAGATGGCCCAGCACCAGAGGTGGAAGGCTGTGGGTTGTCTGGGTTTTCCTTACTATTACCCATATTATGGGCATTAGTTTCAGTCAAAACCTCACCAGAACCTTGAAACTCATCTTCACTGTCACTTCCATCTGTATTAGAACTGTCACTGGGGAACAAAAGTGTCCCAATTCGCCGAGGAGTGAGGAACTTCTTACCGCAGGGCACGGTGGAAATTGTGTACTATGATGGCATTCCCACAATGCACCACTGGGTCCCAGATTTTTTTCCTACTGCGCACACCCACCACACAGACCCATTCTCTCACATCTAGGCTTATCAGCCTTTTCCTGTGAGATTTGAGGCCGCTAGAATTTATGCGTACTAGTACGACAAAAACCCCTACGCGTAAGACGTACTAGTACGACCAAAACCCTCAAAGGGTTAACCCTTTCAGGGTCCGTGCCATAGATCTACGGGTTTACACTGAGGGTACAAACCGTAGATCTACACCAAAATTCTAGCAGCTTCAAATTTAGTGCAAGAAGGCTGGTAAGCCTACATCTGAAAGAATGGGTCTAGGTGGTCAGTGTGCGCACTATAGAAAAAATCTGGACGCCTGCATGGCATTGTGGGAACACCGCCAAAGTAGCTTTGTTCATCATGCCTGGCGGCAAGGAAGCTCTCACTCTCCACTCACTCTCCAGACGAATTTTGACTCTCCTCTTCACAACTTACAGTTCTAAGACTGATGGAAGTGGATCTGAAGAGGAAGTCTATGGTTTTGAATCACATGGTACCACTGTACCATATGGTACAATGGTGGCATATGGTACAATGGTGCCATGTCATATAATTGTATTATATGGTACAATGGTACCATATGGTACAATGTACCATATATTACATTGCATCATATGGCACATTATACCATATGGTACAGGGACCTCTAATGGAAATAAGTGTGTGACTTTTTTTGGTTATCCTAGGTTCTCCAAACATATGCTGCTATGTATGATAATCTATGTAACTTTATTTGTGTATACCTAAATAAACTTACGATGTCACATCTGCTTAAGTTTATTCAGGTGTACACAAATACTGTTACATAGATTATCATACATAGCAGCATATGTATAAAATCCTAGGATAACCCAAAACAGTCAGGGTGAATTATTTCCATAGGGATCCCTGTATCTGTACCATATGGTGTCCTGTACCATATGGTACCCTGCACCATATGGTACCCTGCACCATATGGTACCCTGCACCATATGGTACCCTGCACCATATGGTACCCTGCACCATATGGTACCCTGCACCATATGGTACCCTGCACCATATGGTACCCTGCACCATAAGGTACCCTGCACCACAAGGTACCCTGCACCATATGGTATCCTGTACTGTATGGTAAACTGCACCATGTGGTATCCTGTACTGTATGGTACCCTATTCCATAGAGTACAATGTACCATATGGTACCCTGTAACATATGATACCATGTACCATATGGTCAGAGATGTTGATGCCACCAGGCACCAGCCAAGACTTGAGTGAGTGACGATGCCAGCTAGCTAGTGACTCGGCAGTTTCCAAGACAAAGCACTTTGTCATCCACCTCAAGGAACATGTCGAGTGACTGTACATTTGTAAATATACAATAGAACATTACTAATATACAACATTTTTGCATATTTTTGTTGTAAACAATTATTATCAACGAAATAATGATGAAAATATTAGTGTGCTTATTGTGTTAAAAAAAACAGTACCATATGGTACAATGAACCATATGGTATCATTGTAACATATGGTACAATGTACCATATGGTACATTGCACCATATGGTACCATTGCACTATATGGTACCATAAGGTACCATTGCACCATATGGCACCATTGCACTACATGGTACCATTGTATCATATGGTACCATTGTACCAAATGGTGCCATTGTACCATATTCTACCATATGGTACCATTGTATCATATGGTGCCATTGTACCATATGGTACCACTGTACCATATGGTACCATTGCACCCTATGGCACCATTGTACCATATGGTACCGTTGTATTCAACACAATAACCACACTAATATTTTCATCATTTTGTTTACAATAAACTTGTAAACAAGTTTTGTAAGCAATATAATGATAAACAAATTAGTGCAGTTATTGTGTTGAATACAATGAGTGTACACTTATACAATATACATTATATTGTTTTCACAGGCCACAAATGTTACTAGAAAAAGAAAAAATAGAAAAGAAAAAAGTATAAAAAACGTAAAATAAAAAAAATGCAATTTTGCGGAAGTCGCTGATGTTGCCGCCACCTGGTCATTTTGGGTCAACTTCCCGCCGCTATATCTCGGTAAGTACTGATCAGAATTTTTTTTTGTTTTATTACCTTTGCAAAAATATTATCTTTAATTCAGATTTTGGCCTTGGACTCTGAAAGGGTTAAGCATCCTAGAGCAATAAAATGCATATACAGTTCACTCATTACTTACCTTAAAATATTTGTAGTCTTAATGTAGGGTCAGAGGTGAGTAAACAAGATGAAACAAATAAATGAGAGAGAGAGAATGAGTACATGAGAGAGGACAGGCGCAGAGTTATGTAAACAAACCAGGCAAATGCAAGTTTTGTAAACAAACAAAGTGTACACGTCTGGTTTGTATACAAGTTACATTGTGTACAAGTTGTCTCTACAGTGACACGGTAGAATAAATAAAGAAGAACACTCCCATTCTCATGTAACGCCATTTTTAGAAGAAATGATGGTCTGAGTGAAGGCAATAGAAATAAGTCACTCTGACTTTTTAGGGTTATCCCAGGTTCTCTACACATAAGCTGTTATGTATGATAATCTACATAACTGTATTTGTGTATACCTGAATAAACTTACTTACATACATACATACAAAAGGAATAATTTTCTACAGTTACCCTCAGTAACACAGTTTCTCTGATGCTGGACTAGAGAAAATGTTATTCTTGCTGTCACTCGTAAAAGTCTGGCTCCCACATCTCATATTTATGTTTATTTATTCTATTGTGGGGTGTATTTATCATCTTTACATGTTATGCATCGTGTTTATTATATAATTTTGAAAAAATATCATAGATGGACTAATGAAAATATGTATATTAACGTAATATACGACATTTAATGAGACTCGGTGATTATTATTATCATTACTAATATGACGTCTCGAGACATAAGACACTCTTACTGATTTTAATTTCTACCTGCATGCCAGCACAGTATGTAAGTTTATTTAGGTACAAGTATACATAAGTATAATTATCAGAGTATATATAAAATATGAATAACTTTTAAAAACACTTGAAATTTTGGAGTTTCCATAATGGAGAGACTTAGTGCTTACGGATCTCACATAGAATATAAACAAACCGGGTGGGGCGCGGTGACCATATTAGAAAGTCAGGTGGGGGGAGCCGTATAGTGTGTTTCGGTCATAATTTGAAATTACTGTATTGGCAGAACGCCGTAAAGCAAAACGCTGTAAAGCGGGGCCCTATTGTACTGTATGGTGTTTTGCCTGCTGGTAATTAGTCAACCAGGCAGAAGTGAAGATGCGGGGTGGTGTATGTCATGGAGCCTCCCTGATGATTTAGTTTAACTCATTAGTAGCAGTGTGCTAGTGAGCTCATGTGAACTGGAGTGTGGTGATTTTTTGGAGTAGATTTTAAGTTGTATATAAGTTACTATTATTAATATAGATATATTTTTATATAGGTGAGTTTTTGTCCTTCCTTCTTAATAATAATTAATACTGTTTAATATATGAGTACATGCTGGTCCAGGAGTTGCTGTGTTTTTCAGAGTAATTTTATAACCCTTAGACAGCAGTGTGAGCAGCCTTTAGTATACAGGAACATTATATTTAGGTTATGACATCAAAGTCGTAACAATTGTAATAAATAGAATAGAGGAAATCAGCCCAAGTATACATTATTTAGGTATGCATACTGGTTACAGAGCCTGTCATAAGTCTGAGTCGTAAGTAAACGAGTAAGCTGTTAAGTGAGGAGGCTGTATGTCTTAAAATCATAAAACCACATTTCTTAACTCTTTCAGGGTTTCCGACATACTAGTACGGCTTACGCACCAGGGTTATTGACGTACTAGAACACCTAAATTCTAGCGCTTTCAAATGTAGTGAGAGAAAGCTGGTAGGCCTACATATGAAAGAATGGGTCTATGTGGTCAGTGTGCACAGTATAAAAAAAATCCTGCAGCACACAGTGCATAATGAAAATGTGAAGGCTTACTCAGCCCTGTAACAACTTCAGACACTATTACCAAGGCTGGCTCCTCCTTAGGAAAATTAATGAATAGAAAAAGAAATAATAATTCACAAAGATAAACACTTTATTATTTAGTAATGCAAAGATAAAACATTGAAACATGAATATGTATCCTACTTGAAAGAAAAATGAAATATAAAAATATCTGAATTCAACGCTAATATATACAGTTAGACTGGGGTGTCCGATGTTGTTGGCACCGCGTGTTGTAGAAATTGTAGCCATTGCTGATGATGGGGAGGGGTCACGGATGTTGAGTGACAACCCAACGACTAGTTCTTCACAGAGTCTATAGCCTTGAATAGTCTGTCCAGATGATAGGAACGCAGGTTCTTCACCACTGCAAAGATGAGGGGTAGTTGCCTGCGGTTGACTATGATTAATCAGGTAGGTAGATCAAAAAGTGATGTCTCAGGATTTTTTTCAGTCCGTCTCCTTCAACACATTTCTTTGGTTGGCAGATGACCCGAGCTGTCATTCCAAGCTAGAAAGAGACAACGGTTACCCACTGCTTAAGAAATCACTCTCCATGATGAGTACAATATTTAAAAGATATGGTGATTATCTAAAAGCATAACATGGAACTCAAGACTGAAAGGACTAAGTTTATTATTGGTCAAAAGTGAAGCTTTCAACCAATATATCCACTAGAATAGGAGCAGAGGCTTTTACTTACAGTTGTGCTGGGAGCTGTGAGTCAAGTGATTACTGTTTGGTCCGAGCCTCACACGTCACTTTTCGGAGTATCGAAAAGGGGGGGGGGATAGCGGGAGCTAGACTGACCTTACCTTAACAAGCAGCCGGCAATCAAACTATCGTCACCATATACTCGCTCGCTGCTCCTATTTGTTGAACTTTTCCCTCACAGAGAAAAAAAAAAAACTCCGACCGTGTTTTTGGTCTAAAAGAGCGACTTTGCACTGTATTTTCGTATGGTATTTATGGTTGTATTCTAGTTTTCCTGGTCTCATTTTATAGAATGGAAGACATATTACAGGAATTGAGATTATTTTGATTGATTTCATAATGCTCATGAGCTCAAAGTAGCAGAAATGTTCGATTTTTACCAAATTTCAAAAGTAAACAAATCATGCCAAGTGTCCAATACATGTCAACTGGTGAGTCTAATACGTGTATTCTTTCACAAGTTCACTGATATTATTTATACCATTTCTACACCATTTCTACACTAATGCAGTAGTCTGTATAACAGTAAATCTTCTATTTTGTGAAAATAAAAATTCAAAGTGGAAAGCAAAAGAGATGTAAGAGGGGCCTGGGAACATGACTAATGAACAGAGAAAATGTTATTTTAGTGCCAGGAATGTCTGTCTTGCTTATTCTGGACCCTATTTGGAAATTGGCATTTTCTGAAATTTGTGTGAAATTGGCAAAATTGCCAATTTCTGACCAATTTATTGGATACTTGAAATTGTTAAATGGGTGGTTTCTTGTACTCATTCGATAGAAAAATGGAGTTCTAGCGAAATAGATATGATTTCAGCTAGCCACTCAGCCAGCCAGCCTGCCAAACACACATTACAAATGTTCCAGAATTGTTTCTCTACTTAGGGCACAGGTTTATTTATTTATTTATTTATTTATTTTGAAATTTAAGCATACATACAGAGGTACAAAAAAAAAAATACAGGTAAGAGCAGCATGCCAAAGCCACTTATATGCATAGCATTATGGGCTGGCTTAAAATTAACTTAAGATTAATTAAGCAATGATGAAATCAGTGATAAGACATTATTGTAAACAGATAACTATAAAGCACAAATGAGTATTACAAAGACAGCTCATATGGTTGCATGCATTGCTGTTCATTCAGTAGAATGGAGTATTCTGTTAGGTAGTGTATTTAAAAAAAATAACAAAGTTAGATTGGGTCCTAGGTTTAACATTTATGTGATATAATTGTGAGTAACATTTTGGATATACAATTTATAAGGTTCAGTTATTCAGTATTTATTTGGTTTTGAGTGAGTAAGTGAACTTAGAGAAGAGACTTGAATTTGTAAACAGGTAGTGTTTCTTTTATATTTACAGGTAATGAATTCCAGATTTTAGGGCCTTTTATGTGCATTGAGTTTTTGCATAGCGTGAGATGGACACGAGGAACATCAAAGAGTGATCTGTGCCTTGTGTTATGGTCATGTGTTCTGTTGAGGTTGGCAAGGAGATGTTTGAGGGGAGGGTTAATATCAGAGTTAAGTGTTCTATGTATGTAATAGGTGCAATAATAAGTATGGATGTTTTGTATGGTGAGTAGGGTGAGTGTTTTGAATATTGGTGGAGTGTGTTGCCTGTAGTGAGAATTTGTTATCATTCTAACTGCAGCCTTTTGTTGGGTAATTAGTGGTCTGAGATGGTTAATTGTTGTTGAGCCCCATGCACAAATTCCATAGGTGAGATAGGGGTAAATAAGAGAGTGATAAAGGGCCAGGAGGGCTGACTGTGGAACATAGTACCATATCTTCGATAGTATGCCTACAGTCTTGGAAATTTTATTAGAAATTTGTTGTACATGTGTATGAAATTTGAGTCTATTATCGAGGTGGATTCCTAAGAATTTTCCCTCTGTTAGCTTTGTGATAGGTGATCCGTTTATCGTTATGTTAAGAGGTACATCTGTAGCTCTGTTACCAAACTGAATGAAGTAGGTTTTGTCAATGTTTAGTGTAAGTTTGTTAGTCCTCATCCAGGTAGATATTTTCTGTAATTCGGTGTTTACAGTATTGGCTAGCGTGACTGGGCTCGGGTGAGAGAAGACGTATGTAGTGTCATCTGCAAAAAGTGTGGGTTTGAGTAATTGCGAAGCATTTAGTAGGTCATTCATGTATAGGAGAAAGAGAAGAGGGCCAAGGACACTTCCCTGTGGGACACCAATTGTAATTGGTTGTGCGGAAGAGCATGCCCCATTCGCGTACACATATTGGCTTCTGTTGCTGAGGTAAGACTTGAGGTAGTTGAGGGAGTGCCCTCTAATACCATAGTGTGACAATTTTACATGGAGCAAGTCATGGTCAACTGTATCAAAAGCTTTACGTAAGTCAATGAAGATCCCCAGTGGGACTTCTTTTTTCTCTATTGCATTGTATATATGTTCTAGCATGTGTATAATAGCATCATTAGTATTTTTATTAGGCCTGAATCCAAATTGGCAGGGGTTGAGAAAGTTCTGGGAGATGAGGTAGGAGTAGATTCGTTTATGAATTAATTTTTCGAAGATTTTTGAGAGAGGGTGTAAATTGGATATTGGCCTATAGTTATTCAACTCTGTTTGGTCTCCTCCTTTATGGATCGGGGTGACCCTTGCTATTTTGAGAACTGTAGGGAAGGTGGAGGATTCAATGGATTTGTTAAAGAGTGTTGCAATGATTGGTGATAGTACTTGTGACGCTTTTTTGTATATAAAGGGTGGTAAGGTATTTAAATCTCCTGCCTTGTTTTTTAGTGCGTTGATAATAAGGGAGACTTCGTATGGGTTAGTCGGAGCTAGGAACAGTGTGTTCGGGTAGTTGCCAGTGAGGTAGTCATTTGGTGGGGTATCTGAGCTTGGGATTTTATTGGCAAGGTTTTGATCTATAGTGGTTAAAGGACATTCTGGCAGGATGACACTACTAGTGGTATCAAAATTCAAAGGATGTTGCACAAATGTTGCACATGGGTTATTATTGAGGTTTTTGATATTTCCTCGACCAACTGTGGCTACATCCATCTCAAAGTCACTAAACTCTGGGTCTACATCATTTTCCTCTTAAAAGGGGAGTGTTACTAGGATATGACATAAGTGAATCTCTGGTGTTTGCCATGCTGTTTGCTCTAGCTGGTGCTCAATTGAACTGGTGTTCCTACAAGTTACTAAGTGGTCCCAGATTTTTTTAAAATAGCACACAACAAGTGTTAAGACCCATTCTATACTGACCAGGCATCTCAGTCCAATCATGCTAAATTTGGAGGCAGGAAAAATGAAATGTTGATCTACGTTTGGAACACTAGCAATGAAAACATAGATCTACGTTTGGACAGTTAACCCTTTGACTGTTTTGTATATACAGGTCTCCCTCAACATTCGCGAGGGTTAGGGGATCAAGAGCCTCGCAAATGTTGAAAAACCGCGAATGTTTGGTGCCCCAATATATCGTAGGGAAATATAATACAATACTGCTTCCTTAACTTGTTGAACCATGAACAGTCATAAAATACATGAAAATGTCGTAAATTGTACTAAATACATACATGTTATGCTTTAATAACATGTATGCTAATAAATACCACTGCCTCCACCAATGCCTCCACCACTTCCTCAACCACTGCGAGTCCCTACTACCCTCCCTCCGACCCCCGCAACTGGCAGCCAGCCCTCCCACCACTGTGTGGTGGCAGGTTGGCCCGAAAAAGAAAAACTTTCATCATTCACTCCATCACTGTCTTGCCAGAGACATGCCTACACTACAGTTATAAAATTGCAACATTAACACCCTTCCTTCAGAATGTAGACACTGCACTTCCTATCTCCAGAACTCAAGTCCGGCCTGCTGGTTTCCCTGAATCCCTTCATATATGTTACCTTGCTTACACTTCAAACAGCAGGTCAGGTCCTAAAAACCATTTCTCTTCATTCGCTCCTGTCTAACATGCTCATGCACGCTTGCTGGAAGTCCAAGCCCCTTGCACACACAACCTCCTTTACCCCCTCCCACCAACCTTTCCTAGGTTGGCCCCTACCCCACCTTCCCTCCACTACAGATTTGTATACTCTCAAAGTCATTCTATTTTGTTCCATCCACTCTACATGTCCATACCATCTCAATAACCCCTCCTCAACCCTCTAAATAATAGTTCTGGTAATCCCACACCTCCTCCTAATCTCCAAACTATGGATTCTCTGTATTATATTCACACAACACATTGCCCTCAGACATGACATTTCCACAACCTCCAGCCTTCTCCTTGTTGCAACATTCACAACCCATGCCTCACACCCATACAAGAGCATTGGTATAACCATACACCTACCATCCGACTTACGACCGAGTTCGGTTCCGAGAAACCGGTCGTAAGTCGAAATGGTTGTAAGTCAAACTTTACTACTGAATATCAACAAAACATTTTTGTAATGACTTTATTTTATTGTTTTATTTTGGTATTTCATGTTTTACTTTACTTTTTATGTTGTTAGTACTGTATTTTATACTGTAAGGTTTAGGATAAACACTGTGTACAACACAAATAGTTGTTTATTTCCCAGAAATTTGGCATAAAAAACACAGTTGTAAGTCGAGTGGTCGTAGTCGAGCAGGTCGTAAGACGGATGGTAGGTGTACTTTCATGGATAAAGTTCTTTGTCTTCACAGACTCCTCAGTGCACCACTCATCTTTTTCCCCTCGTCAATTCTATGATTCACTTCACACTTCATAGACCCATCTGCTGACACATCCACTCCCAAATATCTGAACACATTCACCTCCTCCATACTTTCCATTACCTAACTTTTTTATCCTCATCACTTTACCCTTTCCTATATTCACTTTTAACTTCCTTCTTTTACATACCCTACCAAACTCATCAACCAACCTCTGCAACTTCTCTTCAGAATCTCCCAAAAGCATAGTGTCATCAGCAAAGAGCAACTGTGACATCTCCCACTTTGTGTTAGATTCTTTATCTTTTAACCCCACACCTCTTGTCTACACCCGAGCATTCACTTCTCTTACTACTCCATCTATAAATACAGTGGAACCTTGACTTATGAGTTTAATCCGTTCCGCGACCTAGCTCATAACTCAATTTGCTCGTACTGTATATCAAATCAATTTTTCTCATTTAAATTAATTGAATAGCCATTAATCCATTCTGCCCTCTGGAGTCAAGAAAAAATACTTGAATATGACGCTATCATCAACTGTATGGCTTATTTATCTATCATAACTCATCTAATATGACATAATAAACAATATAATTAACACAGAAACGTGATATGTACTCTAGAACGAATAAAATAGGCCATAATATGGTGGCAGAGACAGTGGCAGAAGCGTCTGCCATTTCCTGTCCCACTTTGACTGTAGTATCTTCCCATGCTCTTATTGTAAGAGAAAATGGAGTATTTTTAAGGCTAGCTGCAGTAGATCACTAGTTTTCTAAGGAAAACACTGAAACAATGTATTTATAAATAAGAAATATTGTATATAAAAACATAATAAATCATAATACACTACAGAATGTAAAGAAATATTAAACTGTTTATATAAGGTGTACATGTACTTACACACTTGGAGCAGAGATGGTTGGGGAGGTTGAGGGTAGGGGATGTTGAGGGTGCAGCATATGATGTCAGTGGCCCTGTAAACATTCAACAACAATGTTTTGTCTGATCGCTGAACTTAACTGATACAATATGTTTTGTGTAACCCTTTGACTGTTTCGGTCGTATATATGTGTCTTACGAGCCAATGTGTTTGACATACATATACTCAAAAATTCTAGCGGCTTCAAATCAAGCAGGAGTAAGCTGGTAGGCCCACATGTGAGAGAATGGGTCTGTGTGGTCAGTGTGCACCATATAAAAAAATCCTGCAGCACACAGTGCATGAGAAAAAAAAAACTCTGACCGTGTTTTTGGATTAAAACGCCAACTTTGAGGTGTATTTTCATATATATTTTCTTATATATTTTTTATGGTTATTATTATATATTAACACACTGGCCGATTCCCACCAAGGCAGGGTGGCCTGTCTTGCCAGAAGGGTGCTTTACACTACAGTTTTTAAACTGCAACATTAACACCACTCCTTCAGAGTGCAGGCACTGTACTTCCCATCTCCAGGATTCAAGTCTGGCCTGCCGGTTTCCCTGAACCCCTTCATAAATGTTACTTTGCTCACACTCCAACAGCACATCAAGTATTAAAAACCATTTGTCTCCATTCACTCCTATCAAACACGCTCACGCATGCCTGCTGGAAGTCCAAGCCCCTCGCACACAAAACCTCCTTTACCCCCTCCCTCCAACCTTTCCTAGGCCGACACCTACCCCGCCTTCCTTCCACTACAGACTGATACACTCTTGAAGTCATTCTGTTTCGCTCCATTCTCTCTACATGTCCGAACCACCTCAACAACCCTTCCTCAGCCCTCTGGACAACAGTTTTGGTAATCCTGCACCTCCTCCTAACTTCCAAACTACGAATTCTCTGCATTATATTCACACCACACATTGCCCTCAGACATGACATCTCCACTGCCTCCAGCCTTCTCCTCGCTGCAACATTCATCACCCATGCTTCACACCCATATAAGAGCGTTGGTAAAACTATACTCTCATGCATTCCCCTCTTTGCCTCCAAGAACAAAGTTCTTTGTCTCCACAGACTCCTAAGTGCACCGCTCACCCTTTTCCCCTCATCAATTCTATGATTCACCTCATCTTTCATAGACCCATCCGCTGACACGTCCACTCCCAAATATCTGAATACACTCACCTCCTCCATACTCTCTCCCTCCAATCTGATATACAATCTTTAATCACCTAATCTTTTTGTTATCCTCATAACCTTACTCTTTCCTGTATTCACTTTTAATTTTCTTCTTTTGCATACCCTACCAAATTCATCCACCAACCTCTGCAACTTCTCTTCAGAATCTCCCAAGAGCACAGTGTCATCAGCAAAGAGCAACTGTGACAACTCCCACTTTATGTGTGATTCTTTATCTTTTAACTCCATGCCTCTTGCCAAGACCCTCACATTTACTTCTCTTACAACCCCATCTATAAATATATTAAACAACCACGGTGACATCACACATCCTTGTCTAAGGCCTACTTTTACTGGGAAATAATCTCCCTCTTTCCTACATACTCCAACTTGAGCCTCACTATCCTCGTAAAAACTCTTCACTGCTTTCAGTAACCTACCTCCTACACCACACACCTGCAACATCTGCCACACTGCCCCCCTATCCACCCTGTCATATGCCTTTTCCAAATTAAAAAATGCCACAAAAACCTCTTTAGCCTTATCTAAATACTGTTCACTTATATGTTTCACTGTAAACACCTGGTCCACACACCCCCTACCTTTCCTAAAGCCTCCTTGTTCATCTGCTATCCTATTCTCCGTCTTACTCTTAATTCTTTCAATAATAACTCTACTGTACACTTTACCAGGTATACTCAACAGACTTTTTTTTTTTTTTTTTTTTTTTTTTTTTTTTTTTTTTCAACAAGTCGGTCGTCTCCCACCGAGGCAGGGTGACCCAAAAAAGAAAGAAAATCCCCAAAAAGAAAATACTTTCATCATCATTCAACACTTTCACCACACTCACACATTATCACTGCTTTTGCAGAGGTGCTCAGAATACAACAGTTTAGAAGCATATACGTATAAAGATACACAACATATCCCTCCAAACTGCCAATATCCCAAACCCCTCCTTTAAAGTGCAGGCATTGTACTTCCCATTTCCAGGACTCAAGTCTGACTATATGAAAATAACTGGTTTCCCTGAATCCCTTCACTAAATATTACCCTGCTCACACTCCAACAGATCGTCAGGTCCCAAGTATCATTCGTCTCCATTCACTCCTATCTAACACGCTCATGCACGCTTGCTGGAAGTCCAAGCCCCTCGCCCACAAAACCTCCTTTACCCCCTCTTTCCAACCCTTTCGAGGACGACCCCTACCCCTCTTTCCTTCCCCTATAGATTTATATGCTTTCCATGTCATTCTACTTTGATCCATTCTCTCTAAATGACCAAACCACCTCAACAACCCCTCTTCTGCCCTCTGACTAATGCTTTTATTAACTCCACACCTTCTCCTAATTTACACACTCCGAATTTTCTGCATAATATTTACACCACACATTGCCCTTAGACAGGACATCTCCACTGCCTCCAACCGTCTCCTCGCTGCTGCATTTACCACCCAAGCTTCACATCCATATAAGAGTGTTGGTACTACTATACTTTCATACATTCCCTTCTTTGCCTCCATAGATAACGTTTTTTGACTCCACATATACCTCAACGCACCACTCACCTTTTTTCCCTCATCAATTCTATGGTTAACCTCATCCTTCATAAATCCATCCGCCGACACGTCAACTCCCAAGTATCTGAAAACATTCACTTCTTCCATACTCCTCCTCCCCAATTTGATATCCAATTTTTCTTTATCTAAATCATTTGATACCCTCATCACCTTACTCTCTTCTATGTTCACTTTCAACTTTCTACCTTTACACACATTCTCAAACTCAGACTTATCCCCCTATAATTTTTGCACTCTCTTTTGCATAGTTCCTTTGCCTTTATACAAAGGAACTATGCATGCTCTCTGCCAATCTCTAGGTACCTTACCCTCTTCCATACATTTATTAAATAATTGCACCAACCACTCCAAAACTATATCCCCACCTGCTTTTAACATTTCTATCTTTATCCCATCAATCCCGGCTGCCTTACCCCCTTTCATTTTACCTACTGCCTCACAAACTTCCCCCACACTCACAACTGGCTCTTCCTCACTCCTACAAGATGTTATTCCTCCTTGCCCTATACACGAAATCACAGCTTCCCTGTCTTCATCAACATTTAACAATTCCTCAAAATATTCCCTCCATCTTCCCAACACCTCTATCTCACCATTTAATAACTCTCCTCTCCTATTTTTAACTGACAAATCCATTTTTTTTCCCAGGCTTTCTCAACTTATTAATCTCACTCCAAAACTTTTTCTTATTTTCAAGAAAATTTGTTGATAACATCTCACCTACTCTCTCATTTGCTCTCTTTTTACATTGCTTCACCACTCTTTTAACCCCCTCTTTTTTTTTTTCTCCATATACTCCTCCCTCCTTGCATTACCTCTACTTTGTAAAAACCTCTCATATGCTAACTTTTTCTCCCTTACTACTCTCTTTACATCATTCCACCAATCGCTCTTCTTCCCTCCCGCATGCACTTTCCTGTAACCACAAACTTTTGCTGAACACTTTAATCCTTTCAGGGTCGAGAGGTCCTCTCCTAAACTTGTTCTCAGGGTCGAAAATTTTTCAGAAAAAAAAATTAATTTTTCTTATGAAAAGACAGAGAATCCTTTCCTGATCATAATGACACTAAAAGTATGAAATTTGATGGAAAACTCAGGGAATTATGCTCTCGCGAATTTAGCGGTCTTGACGATGTTTACACATTGGCGATTTCGCCCACTTTGAGCCCTATTTTCGGCCAATTCCAACGTACTAGTCGACAAAAACCATAGCTATTTCACTAGAACTTCATTTTTTCTATCGAATGAGTAAAAGAAACCATCAATTTACCGATTTCAACTATCCAATAAGGTGGTCAGAATTTAGCAATTTTGCCAATTTCACAAAAATTTCAAAACATGCCAATTTCCAAATAGGGTCCAGAATAAACAAGAAAGGCATTCCTGGCACTAAAATAACATTTCTTCTGTTCATTAGTCACATCCCCACACCCTTCTTACATTTCTTTTGCTTTCCACTTTGAATTTTTATTCTCACAAAAAACAGAAGATTTACTGTTATGCAGACTACTGTATTAGTGTAGAAATGGTATAAATAATACCAGCGCACTTGTGAAAGAATATCAAATTCGCCAGTTGACGTGTATTGGATGCGTGGCATGATTTGTTTACTTTTGAACTTTGGTCAAAATCGAGCATTTCTGCTACTTTGAGCTCAATTTCAAGGTACTTTTCATTGTGAAACCATTCAAAATCATTTCAATTTCTGTAATATGTCTTCCATTCTATAAAATAAGACCTGGAAATCTAGAATACTGTACAACCATAAATACCATATGAAAATACAGTGCAAAGTCGATGTTTTAAACTAAAAACACGGTCCAAGTTTTTTTTTCTCATTACGCACTGTGTGCCGAAGGATTTTTTTTTATACTGGGCACACTGACCACATAAACCCATTCTTTCATATGTAGGCCTACCAGCTTTCTCTTGCTAGATTTGATGGCTCTAGAATTTATGCGTACTAGTATGTCAAAAACCCTGGCGCTTAAGCCGTACTAGTATGGCTGAAACCCCGAAAGGGTTAAGATTTGCAATAGGACGATAGCTTGACATGTCCAAATTAAAAAGATTTCTTGAGGAGGCGAACCAAAGCAGATGAAAACTCTCATGACCTTTCCTTTTCATGACCTTATGTTGTCAATTACAGTTTATCACAAATCTAACAAACTTGTGACCTTTCAAATTACAAAATTCACATGCACAAAAATCTCAACATTTTCAAAATAAGCATGGAATATAAATTCAATAGTACAACAATAGTAATACCATATATGATGCTGTTGTGATTCTCAACAATTAACCCTTTGACTGTGGCAAGCCACTTTCTGAAACTGTCATTCTATGTCAAAAAATATTTGAAAAAAAAAAAAAAATTATTTATTCTTATGAAACGACAGAGAATCTTTTCCTGATGGTAATGACACCAAAAGTACGAAATTTGATCGAAAACTTACGGAATTATGCTCCCGCAAAGTTGACGATGTCGGTGATATATACGCATCAGCGATTTCGCTTACTTTGAGCCCTATTTTCAGCCAATTCCACTGTTCCAGTCAACCTAACTCAAAGCTATTTCTTTAGAACTCCATTTTTTCTATCAACTGAATACAAGAAACTGCCCATTTACAAATTTTAACTACTAATAAATAAAGTGGTCATAAACTGGCAATTTGGCCAATTTTATGCAAATTAAAAAAGATGCCAATTTCAAAATAGGGTCCAAAATAAACAATGCAGACATTCTTGGCACTAAAATAACATATCCTCTGTTCATTAGTCACATCTCCAGGCCCCTCTTATATTACTCTTGCTTTCTATTTTGATTTTTTATTCACACAAAAAAATAGAAGATTTACTGTTATGCAGACTATTGCAGTATTGTAAAAATGATATAAATAATATCAGTGCACTAGTGAAAGAATATCAGACACCCCAGTTGATGTGTATTGGACATGTGGTGTTATCTGTTTACTCTTGAACATTGGTAAAAATCAAACATTTCCGCTACTTTGAGCTCAATTTCAGGATCGTTTTCACTGTGAAACTAATCAAAATCACCACTATTTCTGTAACATGTTTTCCTTTGTCTCGAATGAGACCTTGAAATCGAGAATACAACCATAAATACTATACGAAAATACACTTCAAAGTCGACATTTTAATCCAAACACAGTCTGAGTTTTTTTCTCATGCACTGCGTGCTGCAGGATTTTTTTATACAGTGCACACTAACCACAAGGACCCATTCTCTCAAATGTAGGCCTACCAGCTTTCTCCTGCTTGATTTGAAGCCACTAGAATTATTGAGTGTATACGTCCGAAACACTGGCTCGTAAGATGTATATATACGGCCGAAACAGTCAGAGTTAAAGATATAAAAAATGTAACATTTAACCACAAAAAGAATATACTATAAACAGAGTCTTACTTGCGAGGCCTCATGACAGTCTTGTGAGGTTGGCGTTTAAAAGTTACCCAATATAATAATGTCAATACAGCAATTCCAGTAGTAATTAATGTTGTGGTTATTATAATATCTCTTGAGGCCATCTCTGCCATGGAAGTAATGCTGTTACCTGCAACATAAAACTACATGATGGTTTACATGCCTTAACAAACAATATAACTACTAAGGAAAAAAAGTCTTACCAATTATCACATAATGCAAGAGTAAACAAGTTACAAATTGTCAGTGTTACAACAAAATGCCTATATGTACAGTGGAACCCTGGTTTTCATCCTTAATCCATTCCAGAACGTAGGTTGAAATCCAAAATGGACAAAAATCGAAGTAATATTTCCCATAAGAAATAATGTAAATCCAATTAATCCGTTCCAGACACTCAAAAATATTAACAAAAAATACATTTTATAGAGAATAACTCCTTTTTACATACAGAAAACAATGAGAAATAAATATAAATGACTAATTTTAATGGATAAATGAACATTTAAATCATTATTACATACCTTTATTGAAGACTCTCGTTGGCATATGGAAGAAGACGAGGAGGAGAGAGGGAGGAGAGGTTATTGTTTGGAAGGGGAATCCCCCTCCATAAGGACTTCTGGTATTAAAGCCCTATCCAAGGTTACTTTCCTTCTTTGTCTTTTACTGGCACTAAGATCAGCTTGAGAGTCACTGGACCCCTGTTACACAAAAACTTTGTCCAGAGAGCTCTGCTTCTGTCATCTCTTAACCCTTAAATGGTCCAAACGTATATATACGTTTTTTCAACATCTGAAAGTATGTAAAAAAATGTAGATCTTCTTTTTTGTTTTACATTTGAAAACATGTAAAAAAACTTTTATCTACATTTTTTTTTTGTTATATTTGAAAATATGTAAAAAAAGTAGATCTACCTACTTTTGTAGCACTACGAATTTGAACGTCAATCTCTTTGGACTGTTTAAGGGTTAAGATTTGTCATTGAACATGTTGCAGACATGGCTTACAGCAGTTTTGTTAGGGTGATAATTCTCACTTCTTTACCAAAGGGCTGGCACTGGGAACTTTCTTTGGCCCCATGGTGGCTTATTTCGCAGTCGCACTCAATAGACAAGCACAAAAAATAATCGATTATTACAAAATGTTTCAGTTGAACCTGCGGAGTATTGCTCACTGAACAAGTGACAGAGGCAGACTGAGTCACTTACGTGTGAGCGGCCACGTGACGGGCAGGCAGACATGTCTGATACGGACGATTTCAGAGTGGAGGTATGAAACCCGGGTAAAATTTCACCCAAAAAAGTGGTCGAAATCCAAATTGTACAGTATCCGCATCAGACGAAATCTGGGGTTCCACTGTATATTAATGTACTATGTTGTTACCGCAGTTAGTCTAAAGAGATTGAGCTAAACTTTTATTTTATAATTTTGATCCCTAATATAATGCATTTAAATAAACACAAAATACAGTGGACCCCCGACATTCGATATTAATCCGTTCCTGAGAGCTCATCGAATGTCGAAAATATCGAAAGTCGAATTAATTTTCCCCATAAGAAATAAGGGTAATCAAATTAATCCGTGCAAGACACCCAAAAGTATGAAAAAGAAAATTTTACCACATGAAATATTAAGTTTAATGCAATAGAATAATTACAATAACAATAGATTAATAACAATAGAATAATTGACACTTACCTTTAATGAAGATCTGGTGATGATTGATGGGATGGGAGGAGGGGAGTGTGTGGATGGTGTTAGTGCTTAGAAGGGGAATCCCCTTCCATTAGGACTTGAACTGGCAGCCTCACCATGCCTTACCACACTGTGTATGCCACTACGATTCTTAAATCTTTCAAACCAACCTTTGCTGGCCTTAAATTCACTCACATCACCACTAGTTGCAGGCAATTTCTTTACCAAATCATCATGCACTCCAGCACATGCACTCCACTTTCGTACTTTGCAATTATCTCTTTCTTCATTTCAATAGTCATTAGCACCTTTTTTCTCGAAAGGTTGGCACTAGAAGCTTTCTTGGGGCCCATGGTTACTTATTTTGCAGAAACAAGCACCAAAAAGTGATAATATGGATAATATGGAATGTACCGAATTTATCCTTAGATGCGCGCACACTGGCTGGCTTGTAAACACTGGCACACATGGGGCAGTTCAGGCCACACGTGGACACATCTCATACAAATCGTATCGAATGTCGGGTTTTCCATCGAATGTCGAGGCAAAATTTTTGCATTAAAATGCATCGAATGTCGGATTTATCGAATGTCGATGTCATCGAATGTCGGGGGTCCGCTGTAAAAACTTTGCACCCTGTGGAGCCTGCAGCAAGTGACTTGTGGAAAGCAACTGCAGTGAAATGTTTGGCCTGAAGAATAGACTTCTTCAGTCAATACACAGAGGTATATAATAAGCATATTTAACCCGTTAACTGTCCAAACACAGATTTACATTCGCTCACCCAGCACTCCGAATATTTAAAAAAAAAAAAAAAATTTAACCCTTTCAGAGTCCGTGCCGTAGATCTATGCGGGTCCAAACCATAGATCCAAGCCAAAATTCTAGCGGCGTCAAACTTAACACGAGAAGGCTGGTATGCCTACATCTGAGAGAACAGGTCTGCATGGTGTATGTGTGTGCCATAAACAAAAATTCTAGGTGCCCGCATGGCATTGTGGGAATGCCGCCTCAGTAACCTTTGTTCACCACGCCTCACTGCAAGTCAGCTCTCACTCCGAGGCAAATTGGGACTCTCCTCTTCATAACTGATAGTTCTGACTCTGATGAAAGTGGAAAAGAAGAAGTCTATGGCTTTGATCGATTAGTGACCGAAAGCAATGACCAGGATGACAAAAATTGTCCAGAAAATCCTGATGATCCTCAACCGTCTACCTCTGGTGTGGGCACGTCTCAGTCACGTTCAGTTGTACCTCGTCGCAAGAGAAAATTAATATTTTCGCATGGCCAGGCCTCGGACTTCAGTAATGATGATGATAGTGATGTGGACTGTGATTTTATTGCTCTTGATGATCATTCAAGTAGTGATAGCGATGAATCATATTCACCAGTGAAGCGTCGGTATATACGCCACCGCATGCGCTCAGGTAGTGTTCCTTATGCAGTGCCCAGGGGACGAAGTACATCCTGGAGTACATCCCGTGGCCCTACACCAGGAATAGACAGTGAAAGTGAGGATGATGTGGCTACACTTGGCATGGATAGACCACAGGCATCAGTAGGTGGTGGTAGGGGTGGTGGTAGTGCCACGGCCATGCATGACTCACCAGCCCAGGCTGGGACCCACGTTGCTGACTCCTCAGCTCAAGGACAAAGCGGAGCATCATCAACCACCACACCACAACTACAACCACAACCAGCTTATGATGTCCAGTATCCACCAGCAAACGGCATTTGGGATTGGCAGCAAAATTCCAATACAGTGGACCCCCGCATAACGATATTAATCCGTTCCTGAGAGCTCATTGTTATGCAAAATTATCGTTATGCGAATGAATTTTCCCCATAAGAAATAATGGAAATCAAATTAATCCGTGCAAGACACCCCAAAGTATGAAAAAAAAAAATTTTACCACATGAAATATTAATTTTAATACACACAAACTGAAAAAGGCATGCACAGTTACATGACACTTACCTTTATTGAAGATCTGGTGATGATTGATGGGATGGGAGGAGGAGAGAGTCATAAGAACATAAGAAAGGAGGAACACTGCAGGAGGCCTGTTGGCCCATACTAGGCAGGTCCTTTACAATTCATCCCACTAACAAAACATTTGCCCAACCCAATTTTCAATACTTCCCAAGAAATAAGCTCTGATGGGAAAGTCCCACTCAAATCTAACCCCTCCCACTCATGTACTTATCCAACCTAAATTTGAAACTACCCAAAGTCCTAGCCTCAATAACCCAACTAGGTAGACTGTTCCACTCATCAACTACCCTATTTCCAAACCAATACTTTCCTATGTCCTTTCTAAATCTAAACTTATCTAATTTAAATCCATTACTGCAGGTTCTCTCTTGGAGAGATATCCTCAAGACCTTATTAATATCCCCTTTATTAATACCTATCTTCCACGTATACACTTCGATCAGGTCTCCACTCATTCTTCGTCTAACAAGTGAATGTAACTTAAGAGTCTGCAATCTTTCTTCATAAGGAAGATTTCTAATGCTATGTATTAATTTAGTCATCCTACGCTGAATGTAGTCTATTTGCCTCATTACGTACGCTTAGGCATTGCTGTCTTGGTGTTCAGAAGGGGAATCCCCTTTCATTAAGACTTGAGGTGTCAAGTCCTTTTCTGGGGTTACTTCCCTTCTTCTTTTAATGCCACTAGGACCAGCTTCAGAGTCACTGGATTTCTGTCGCACAACATATCTGTCCATAGTGGCCTGTACCTCTCGTTCCTTTATGACTTTCCTAAAGTGTTTCACAATAGTGTCAGTGTAATAGTCACCAGCACGGCTTGCAATAGCTGTGTTAGGGTGATTGTCATCAAAAAAGGTTTGCACTTTAAGCCACATTGCACACATTTCCTTAATCTTTGAAGTAGGCAACTTCTTCAATTTCTCTATGCGTGGAGCCCCAAACCGACAAAATGAGACTAGTCACGAGGGAGCATTCACCAAATTCAACTTCAATAACAAAAACATAAAGTGGGACCAAGTAAACCAAGTCCTAACCGATATAAGCTGGGAAGATATACTAAGCAACACAGACCCAAACTTATGCCTAGAACAGATTAACTCGGTGGCACTCGATGTATGCACAAGGCTTATTCCTCTAAGAAAAAGAAGGAGTAGATGTAAAATAGAAAGAGACAGGCGCTCCCTTTACAGGCGACGGAAAAGAATAACAGAGCGGCTAAAAGAGGTCAATATATCTGAAATGTGCAGGGAGACACTGGTCAGAAAAAATAGCAAGCATCGAACTTAAGCTAAAAGAATCCTTTAGGAGTCAGGGAAACGCGGGAAGAACTAAAAGCCATAAATGAAATCGAAAGAAACCCAAAGTATTTCTTCTCCTATGCCAAATCAAAATCGAGAACAACGTCCAGTATTGGGCCCCTACTTAAACAAGATGGGTCCTACACAGATGACAACAAGGAAATGAGTGAGCTACTAAAGTCCCAATATGACTCAGTTTTTAGCAAGCCGCTAACCAGACTGAGAGTCGAAGATCAAAATGAATTTTTTATGAGAGAGCCACAAAATTTGATTAACACAAGCCTATCCGATGTTATCCTGACGCCAAATGACTTCGAACAGGCGATAAATGACATGCCCATGCACTCTGCCCCAGGGCCAGACTCATGGAACTCTGTGTTCATCAAGAACTGCAAGAAGCCCCTATCACGAGCCTTTTCCATCCTATGGAGAGGGAGCATGGACACGGGGGTCGTCCCTCAGTTACTAAAAACAACAGACATAGCCCCACTCCACAAAGGGAGCAGTAAAGCAACAGCAAAGAACTACAGACCAATAGCACTAACATCCCATATCATAAAAATCTTTGAAAGGGTCCTAAGAAGCAAGATCACCACCCATCTAGAAACCCATCAGTTACACAACCCAGGGCAACATGGGTTTAGAACAGGTCGCTCCTGTCTGTCTCAACTACTGGATCACTACGACAAGGTCCTAAATGCACTAGAAGACAAAAAGAATGCAGATGTAATATATACAGACTTTGCAAAAGCCTTCGACAAGTGTGACCATGGCGTAATAGCGCACAAAATGCGCGCTAAAGGAATAACAGGAAAAGTCGGTCGATGGATCTATAATTTCCTCACTAACAGAACACAGAGAGTAGTCGTCAACAGAGTAAAGT